CCCCCCCCCCAAAATTGGGGGCCTCCCCTCGTGGGCCAGAAAGGCCCCCTTATTTAGACCTACCCCCAAGGGGCCGTTTTTCCTCCAAAAAATTGGGAGCAACCCCCCCCCCGGTGGGCCTCAGTGGGTGGGGTGTACCCTTAGAACCCGAGAGGTCCGGGTTTGATTTCCGGTCGGGGGCAAATCGCCGGTTTTTGGGGGCTTTTTCCCCCAATTTTAAGCCTTCAAAAAACAACCCGGTAAAAAGTTTCTCTCCTAATCATTGAAAATTTCTATTTTCCCCCTCTTTCCTTCTTTTTGAAACCCCAAAAAAAAATTTTTTTTTAAAAAAATGGGGAAAAAACCCCCCACTGGCCAATGGGGCCCCCAAGGGATTTCCCGGACCCCCAAAACCCCCAAGGTTTAGGAGGTAAATGTGGAAGAACCCCCTTTATTTCCCTTGAGGTCCCCAGAAGGCCAGGGGAAAGGGCCCTGGTTACCACCCCCGTTCCCTGGAGGGGACCCCCCCCCCCCCCCCCCCGCAGGAGCCCCCGCCGGCCCAGGCCGCGTGTACTCACCAAAACTGTGGCCCATGATGGAGAAGCGATCCCACTTCAAGGCTGAAAGCACAGAGCCAGGTCTGGGGTCCAGCCTTCCCCCCCTCTGTCCCAGCATCTGGGGCGCCCCCCTCAGGGGCAGACCCTGCAGGAGGGAGTGGGCCCTCGGGCCGGCCTCCTCCAGCTTCCCTGTCACCCAGGGATTCGGGGCAGAGCTGGGGCCTGACACAGGTCACCCCCAGGCCAGCCTTGCTTCCTGGCTACCACACTCACTCCCACGGTGAGAGGGGGTGCCCCGCTCCCCAACACACTCTGCCTCTTACTCACCTGCCGAGACTCTCCGGATCTCACCCACGAAGTTTTGATAGTAATAGGGAAGGCCTGGGCTGTAGTGGGACGAGAGCCCGTGGCCCCCGAAATCCATGGCCACGTAGTAAAAGTCTGAGGCGGAGGGAAGATGGAGGCGAGGTGTCAGACTGGCCTCTCCCCTCTCACTCCCCCGCAGCCCTGCCCCTCGCCCTGGCCTTCCTCCTGCCCAGCCCACCTCTTGGGAGGAGAGGGATGAGTCTGTCGAAGGAGTTGGCATTGTCCAGCCAGCCGTGCAGGCAGAGAACAGGGGAGGCCTTCTGGGAGCCCCAGGCTTTGGCGGCGATGTGGCCCCAGGGCACAGCCATCTTCAGCTCCGAGAACAGACCTGAAAGCCATCGGCTCAGTCCTGGAGCCGCACTCCGGAGCCCTTGGTCTGGGCCCAGCCCCTCACCCCCACTGGAGGGCATCAGCGACACCCAGGATTCCTGTGCTGCCCCCGAGGTGACGGGGAGACCCGGAGGTGGGCCTGGGGATCCCCAGGGGAGGGGAAGAGAAACTGGGTCCACTGAGTGAGGAAAACCTTGGAAGGGCTTCACCACAGAACTTTCTAGAATAGTCTGGGGGGTTGGCTAGCTCTGGGCTCTGCCACGTGCTAGCTGTGCAACCGTGGGCAAAGTGATGAAAACCCAGCCTCGGTTCCTTTTCTGTAAACTGGAGTGAACAGTAATAGTAATAATAGCCAACATCTTGAGTCTTTGCTGAGGGTGAGCTGCAGTGGCCCATCTCCCACATCTTCACAGTAAGTTATGCACCCATCTGTTCAGCCACACAAGTATTAAGGCTGGTTCTTAATGTAAAGAACCCCCCTCCAGCCCCAACTGGTTTGGCTCAGTGGACAGAGCGTCGGCCTGCGGACTCAAGGGTCCCAGATTCGATTCCGGTCAAGGGCATGTACCTTGGTTGCAGGCACATACCCAGTAGGGAGTGTGCAGGAGGCAGCTGATCGATGTTTCTCTCTCATCAATGTTTCTAACTCTCTATCCCTCTCCCTTCCTCTCTGTAAAAAATCAATAAAACATATATATTTCAAAAAAAAACCCCAAACCCTCCGCAGACCGGGAAACTGAGGCATGGGGTGCAGTACAGGCCCGAGGTCACAGGGAGGGAGAGCTGGAGCCGGACTCAGCGCCGGATCCGCTCTGACCCCGCCCCACGCTGCCGCCGGCGGTCAGGGCTGCCTGCTCCGCCGCCCGGAGCGGCCCCTCTACCCTGCTGCCCTCACCACGGGGTTGGGGACCTGCACCCCTAAACTCCCGGGAGCTTAACTTCCTCCCTGGGACTCCCGTGTCCCACCCACCACCTGCCGGCCCGGCTCGGAGACGCGACGCGAGAGAGGGCGGCGTGGCCGGCGAACCCTCCCCTCCTGCCCCCCGCGGG